AACGGCTCCCCTCCAGCCGCGACTCGGCTCCCATCGTTCATGTTTATGAGCCGTTCGAAAGAATCGGTTCGTTCGCGAACGTCACAACTCTACTTCATAGAGACTAATTTTTTGGTCTGCATATGCCATATCCAAACTGCTGCCATTTGTGTTGCTAAATTTAATATTAGGTTTAGCCAAAGGTTAAAGGAAGGCAGAGGTAACACCGATAATAACCGATTATTACAGTCGACGTTTTCTCATATAGTCTATGCAATTATCAATTTGGGTAAAATTTACAGAGGATCAGTCTTACCGTTTATCGCTTGCTTCTTGTTGTAAACAAAAGAGGAACGATGGAAACTAAAACGCGGTAAGCTTGCGAGGCGGGGTGGGAGGGTGCTGGTTAGTGACGCAGTTTGTGAGAATAAACAGCTACTGTTGTTGTAATGCATGTGAACGGTCATTTGACTTGTTAGTAAGCGGAGGTGGATTTAACAGGCTTCAAAGGCACATGAGCTGGACAGTCCCCGGTTCTTCACATTTGCAGCCTGGGGCGGTGGAGTACTGAATCATCAGAGATGTTTATGCCCGGTTCACCTTCAACAATCAGCCCCCGCAGGGTTTTCCACGGAGATGCACAGAGAGGCGTAGACATACCCACGGAGGCTTAATTCGTAAACAACGTGGTCATATAAAAACGACGCCTGTCCGTTATGTTGTATAATGTTGTCGAGTAGGGATTTTGGCATGTTTATGCTTCGTGGGAAATTATGTTCACTTCCCTGAATATTTGTGTATAGTAGGGTGATCACATAATCCATGTCAGGGGGGACGTCGACGTACTTCAGGTTTTACAATCTACTTTAAAACTGAAAGGCTCCCGAATCCGTGTATCGTTCGTTCTTTATATTTTCGGTTTCAAAACCAAATCGGACAAACAAACGGCGGCGTTTTTTGGTTTTTCCGTTTTAAAATCAGAACGTGAAAAACAAAACGGAAAAAGAAAAAAAAACATACTTTTAAAAACACTGTTTTAAAAGCAAACGGGAAAAATGTACATCACGTGTTATTGTTTCGTTTTTGTGATATTTACGGTAAATCCAGAGGATGACGGACAATATGATGTATTAAACAGCATGCAACTCTGGCTCTGCAAAACTGCTGACATGCTACTGACTCATTACACGGGGGTGTGCAGTGTGTTATGTAAGGAATAATTGACGACGGGCCGTTGAATTATTAGAAAAATAATGCACACCCGAGGTGGTAATGCGGCCACGACGCGAAGCGGAGTGGCTGTTACACCTCGGGTGTGCATTATTTTTCTAATAATTCAACGGTCCGGAGTCAATTATTCCGCTTATACTACGGTTGCCACACCTCAAGACATCGATCAGATGATATATTTCAAGGGATTCGTNAGGCAGTTCTGAAGGCGAAAGGGGGTCAAACACCGTATTAGTATGGTGTTCCTAATAATCCTTTAGGTGAGTGTATATATATATATAAGATCGACAGAAGAAAGTTCATTTGTCGTTCTAAACGTATCTATGGAAAAACAGTTTTTTGTCTCTCCCACGACATTATTCCGGTCTCCTACAGCGGCCATTACAATTACATGCACATTATGCAAATGAGGCGATGGCGTCATTTAGCGACTTTTGGGACAGCCAATAGCGACTTTATTTGCTGAAGAGTTTGGCAACAGTGGTTAAGCGTTGTCTCAAAGAACGTCCGACGTGTGGGAACAGATTCTCAAAAGATCGTTCCGTCGGACGAAATTCCGCAATCTTACTATTCAACAGAGCTGAGATTGTTACATAATCAATATAATAAAGCCTATAAAATCACGTCTTAGCATTCCAATTAATTCCAAAATAATTACAGTAAAATCCCGTTATAGTGGACTCGCTTATAATGGAATATATTGTGTGCTATAGTATGACGTGCCTTGGTTCCATCTGATTTTTAAAGCATTAAATCAGTCTGGGCCAGGACAATGTCACTTTTTCTGTATAGTAGGATACCTGATGTGTACTGAGAAGTTGATATTTGCCTGGCCCAGAGAGGTTTAAGGTATTAAAATTTCCCCCCTACAGGCGCAATAGCGTCATTGCATTGGGCTGCGAAGCATTTAAGGTGGACCGGAAAATCCGAATAAGGGGCTGCGAATAAGGAGCCAACTTCAGCGTCGTCGCATACTAATCACGTCTTCACATCAAATAATATTATACAGTAATAATGACAGGTGAAATCAACCCAGAGGGTTCCCCGTTGGCTATGGGGATCGAATCAGCAACTTTCGCATTATAAGGCGACAGCATAAACCACCGTGCCACCGTTTGTCTTGTGATTCCCTTACCCTTTCCCTTTCCTTTCTGTCGATCCCTAACCCTAGACCAGGGATCGTAACACTATATAAAGTTTTACTGTTTGTGCCTAAAGTGTCACACACCAAAAATGCAAACAACATTAATATCAGTTATTTACAATTTGTTGTAAAAAGTCCTATCTAGATATTTATTAACCATTTTAAAAATCTGATGCATTCTGGGTATTAAATTAGTTTTACTCAATGGTATGTTTTGGAAACATTTATTGCATTGTCTGTTGTGTTATTCTTTCTGTATACATGAAATATTTCTGGGTGACTGACCGCAAATGAAACAAGCCTGTGATCTGACTTTTCCCTGCCCCAGGAGATCCAGGCCCACGTCTTACATATACTTAATAAAATGCTTTATTTTCACATTTTTGTTTCTGTTGTGGTTCTTTAATCTAAGATAAATTAACATGCAGAATTGGGGCAAAGCCTAGGCTTCCCACTTGCCTGTGTGTATGACTGGATATTTCAGTGCAGTATATTTGTATTTGTATTTTATTGTATTTGTTACATACTTGGCTAATAAAGTCAGATTCTGCAGTAATAATGACATCACCACTGGGCCCTTAACCCTACCTGCTCCAGGGAGGCTGGCTGACCCTGTGCTCTGACCCCAGGTTTCCTAACTTGTGCATCACTTTGGATAAAAGCATCAGCTAAATGAATGTAAATATAATAGCAGTTTGACTCAATTAACATGCAGTTTTCTGGATTAGATTTCGGAAGAAACCCTGTTATAACAAGATAAATGTCAGTTAAGCAATTAAAGCAACAATAGGCTAAAACATAATAAAAGAACA